TTAATATATATTTCTCTCATTAATTAATTCAATTGTTTTCCTTGAGTTTATTTAACCCCTCGATTGTGTAAACTTGAGAATACATTAACAGTGTTTATAACGGCATACGTATAGCTGGCCGACAATTAGGGCTCTAATTGTTTTGCAAGACTACACGCCCTAAACGCACCGTTAGCTTATCATAAACGGCTGTACCTCAAGAAGACCTCTAAAAAATTCAAAGTCAATAGTATTAAGCATTATTTTTCTACACATTTTAATAATAACAATATTTTAATGTTAAATAATATATTTAAAAATAAACAATAATTTTTTCTCCAACTAATAAATGGAAAGGGATCTCAAGGATTGCCAAATTTGTAGTCTCCCTCGGCTTTTCAGTAGTAATTCAGTAGAGTTTAATGGATTCAAGGATTAAATTTTTTTTGTATATAAGGCGAACGATTTGAGTCCAAAAAGTTATCCAAAAAACTCTCCAAAAGTTTTCTAAAGTTTGTGCAAAAACTACTCAAAAACTAATACTCAATATGTATTCTCTGGTAATGAAAAAGTTTTTAAAAAGTTTTCATTTCTCGTAACTGATCTTAAAATGCGTTTTAAACCCAAATATTTTACTCCGACTACAGATCGTAATGAGCGCTCTGTTGGGTCTGGCCGTCGCCAGCCCTTCCTCCGCCGTCGTGGGCTATGACGGTCTGGGTCTGGCCGGACACGGTTTGGGCTATGCCTCACCTTATGGTGTGGCCGTCGGACACGGAATCGCCACCAACTATGCGACCAGAATCTCGCACGGAATCGCCGCACCCGCCGTCTACTCGCACGGTTTGGCCGCACCCGCCGTCTATGGACACGGTATCGCCGCTCCCGCTGTCTACGGACATGGCATCGCCGCCCCCGCCGTCCTCTCATCCCACGGACTCGCCGGCCCGGCTGTCCTCAGCGCCGGTTACGGTCTCGGAGGCATCCGATCAGTCCATGGAGGCCTCCTGTCCGCCCCCTATGGTGTCAAGTCCTACGGCGCGCCAGTGATCAGCGCTTATGGAGCTCACGGTCTATATTAGAGAACATCTGATTCTTTCATATATTTGAACCAAAATTATATTTTGTTTTTCACCTAAAATTGTGATCAATTCATTGAAAACAAATTTACTTTCTATTCAATAAATCAATAAATGAAATAATTCTTTAAGAACCTTGTTGCTTTATTTCATTAATAATTTAAATTATATATCTGACCGCAATTGTTATTTGATCTCTAATGCAAATTTAACGTAAATTGTTAAAAGTTATTATCCATAAATTATGCTGGTAATATTTAATATACTTTTAAAAAACTAAAATACATAAGTATATTAATAGCTATATCTAAGTTAGTTAAATTTAAAATAAAATTTTCTATATTTCGTTGTTAAATATTATAATATAGATTTTATTCACATTATTTCAATGGTTAACAATTTATAAAATGCTATAAATAAAAGACATGTATAACTTTGAAAATACTTTTTAAACAATTTATATAATAGGAATTTAATTTCATTTTTATTATAAAAAATTTTCAATAAAATTATAAGAGGTTACGATTTTTCTATTAATATTAATAGTATTTTATGATTTGCAACAATAAGTTATTAATGAATATAAAACAAAACATGAATATATCTAAAGTTATAACTCTTTATAATATAAAAATCGGTGGAAATTATGACAAAAGTGAGTATTCATTAAATATTTTCTAAATTTAATACAAAAGTTAATTATTTATATCCATTATTGAAATATTTTTATGAGTGTATAGAAGTGCATTAATTCAATAATAGATTGAAGTGATTATTAAATAGTGATTAAAATAAAATAATACATAAAAACAATTTATAAAATAAATATCAGATTATAGTTTGAGTTGAATTTTATATGAAAGTATTTGATGAGAAGTTCATTATTATTATAGTTATTATTATTATTAATTAAATGTTGTTTTCCTATGGAATGATAATGTATTCAACTTTTCGTTTCTCGAAATTGAAATTATCGTTATCTCTGAGCGCTTTCATAGACTTTCTAATGTTATAAATGCCATAAATCATCATAAATATAGAGAACATCATTGAAATGATTGGGTCCAGAATCCAGAGATTGTTATCGTATTCAATGATCAGTGTTGTGATGACTATTAGTAATGCAAAAACTGCGGAAATCCAGGAATTGATTGCTAAATAAAATATGCAACAAATTATTAAAATTAAACTTAAATTATATAAAATATAATAAAATCACTAGAAATATAAATTCAAATACAATATTAACTTCTAAACTGAAATATTCAATTCATTGCAAACAAAATTTGCTGATACAGTAATTATACACAAACATCGATTAGATGTCTATAATTTTAGCAATAATTTCTAACAAACAAGTGATAAGAAATTTATTACAAACGATGGCCACAACCCTACCCAATATGGTTTTCCCAATAACTTTATACATCCCTGTCCACTTTCATTAAAAAATATATTCATAAAAATAACTTACATTCTAAATACATAGACTTGGAGTGCATGTGTCTGTATAAGACATATTTTCCAAGGGCCAGGAGCCCACAGATCACAAATGCCACTGAAGTGACGTGAAGTATGCCCGGCAGACCATTCATCTATATTCCCCCAAAACATACAAAATTATCATTATTACCGAGTCTTTGCATATTAGGCACAGAAATGACAGAAACATTAAAACCACAAAAACAACATGTTTTTCAATGACTTACAGATTATTATTTAAAAAAGTGGTTTCAATAAAAAAACAAAAAAAAGAGAAAAATAAATATTAGGAAAATATAAACAATTAATTAACGAATTTGATTGAAATAAATGGCAATTAATAGACAGAAAGAGGACTTACATCGGGCTCCAAATCAAGCATATTGTCGGACACAACCAAATCGGCGCCCGATTTGCCGATCACTATAACCCCGGACAGTATGAACATAACTCCGAGCCCTATGCAGGCGAGGAGTTCCTTGCGCTGGCTTTGGGGCGACTGATGACCGCTGAGACCGAACTGATAGTGGGGGTCATAGTTGGGGTCAGAGGTCTTGGGGTCGGACTCGCCATAGAAGCGCCAGACGAGTATCGCCGACGAGAACACGTCGAGAGCGCAGTCGACCGCAAAGGCACAGTTGGATGAGGAGGTGCCCGTCAGTAGGGACGCCACCGCCAGCACTAAGTCGATGGCAATCGAGGCCAACGATATATGGAGTGCGAAATTATAAGCCATTGTGAACAGCATTTTCGATTGCCCTAGGTTATCAGGGTAGCTCTCGATACAATTATATGTATATAACAATTGCAAATCTATAGATTCAGATTTGGCTTTTCAAATGATTATTACTTTTTTTATTAATCGTTTACTTTTTCCGGTTTTTCAGACTCTCGACGCTTAATACTTTAGCAGCACTTCTATAGATCTTTGTATGCATTAAAGCATTTGAATGCATAGATTGATTCAACTTTTAAATTCACTAATCGTTTATGAGATAGTTAATTGTCAAACTATACAATCGAGTCAATTATTGTTCACTGGTTATACAAATGTGTACTAAATGTGTGGAGTTTGTGGAGAATTATGGCTTAATTGGGAACTTGAGCTCAACTTATATATGAGAAGTGTAGCACTCGATCGACTCAATAGCGGAAAGTTTTGCTTCAGTTTTGAACATTTCTGGAGATAATCTTCATTTCCAATAATAAAACTATTACTAAATATTAGCGTTAATTCAAAATACAGTATTAATCAGTGAAACAGCTATTTGTTTGCCAAACGAGATATGAGATTAGATAAGAGGGAAGATGTTTCACTGACTTTAGTCACATAGTGTTTCAGTCCTAATAAAGTACTCAATAATTAACGCATTAATAGCCAAACAAACATATTTTTAATTATTAAAATTAAAACTGATGATTTCTTAATATATTTATCAATTATAATCATTGGCTCTAAAGATATTGTAATTTTAAAATTACACTAAACTCTCGTTATTAAGATATTCAAATTCATTATAATAATGTCTAAAATTTTAATTAACAAGTTTTAGCATAAAAAAGTTATGAAGTAAACAGACTATAAGTGTTTTAATACATAAAAATTTTTATTATTAGTAAATAAAACATATTTTGTTAAGTAATGCAAAAACAATTGTATATTTAATATGTTACACATGTTTTAAATGATAATAATTTTCTGAATTGAATTAAAACTCGTGATTTGAACGCAACACATAAACCCTTATTTCAAAATTTGTCAATTTTTTATCGCAAATATATTTTATCACTTCTTTTCATTAATAACTTCCCAATCGCTGGAGACGAGTGAAAAAAATCTGTAAATAAAATAATTATTTTCATTGATTTGTATTTTTTCTGTCAGAAAGACGTCTCCTTTCTTAACATATGCTTCACTCGTGTCCTCAACTGAACTCATGTTTTAAAATATAAATTCATTTCAATCATAAAAAATTGTTTTTCACTGATTTTT